GGACTGTACCTCTTGGGTGACGTGGAAAGAGTTTCACTTTAATTACTTGATTCATGAAAAAATAGTCAATACTGGGTCAGAATCTCTCTTATTGAAATAATCATATACCCATTGTTCATTTATGCTTTTGTAGACAATTTTTATGCCATACCTTTTTTTTCATGTCAATTTGAAAGAAAAAAAATGAAACGACTCGACTGGCATTCAAATGTAAACGCACATGAGGAGAAGGCGTTATACAGCGCTACGTACGATGTCTGAAGGTACTTGTCCCCTGTTTTGGTCTCGGCGACATCAAAGCTTGGCAATACCTCCCTGTATCATACCTTAGACACCCTCATTGCGTGTGGTGCCCTCCCTCTTTTGGGGTGCAGTACTACAATGCCGTTGGGGTCACTCAAACCCCCAGAACTGAGTCTCTACTTTAGTTCATCCTCTTTGATTGATACTACAGTTTTCCCATAAATTTCATGCGCATGCGTAGTAACGTGTTAAATTTTATTTAGGTTTTCAAGGTAAAAAATCAAAACATCGTGAATCGTGATATCATCAGTAATGTAAGATGCAAAGAACTACCTGAAAACTACGATTTTTTGTTTCTTAAGAAATCACGTGTTTGTTCAGACATTAGTCTAGTGACAGAATTGAAAACAATGGAAATAATCGCCGCATTTGTCTAAGACTTTCACATTTTATAAACATTACGTCATGGATCAGGGCACATTGCCGAAGTATTGGATTGCTGTTCCCTCAAAGCAACGGCCAGATCGTGTGTATTATTTCAATAAAAAAACAAATCAGACCTCGTGGGAACGTCCAGGAGACAGTAGAAATGAGGTTTGTAATATTTTTATCCAAATTCATGACGTACCTTAACCTGTAACATTACTAGAAACATCTATTAAATCATTACTCCCCTTACAGCCCTCCGAAAAAATGTCAAAAATGATGAAAAAACGACGAAATGAAGACGACGAGGTCCCAACTGAACCCAATACCCCAGGAAAGGATTCACCACCCCCGAAAACTGAAAGACCAAAATTAAAAGCACGAAGAACATTACTAGTAAAAGCTAATGATCAAGAACCTTCAGTCTCCAACGAAACTCCCCAGATGAAAGCTCTACGACAAAAGATCTTGGAAAGACAATCGAAGGCAAATGTCTCAAAGAAAGGGAAGAATACAACGGTACTTGAATTAAAAACTCCCACGAAGAAGGCAAACGCCGAGACAAAAATTGAAGAACACAATCATAAGTCCTCGATGAACGTCACCCTTACCCCTCTAATGAAGGAAATCTATGAGAAGAAGAAAGCACGTGAAGCCCTGGCGAAAACTAAAAAGTCTGAGAGAGTAGTTGAAGACCCCCCGAAAGCAGATGAAGATCCACCCAAAGAAGAAACTCTGAGGCGTGGAAGATCTAGAGCTAAATCCATAGGTCCAGCACCAACTCCAGTAGTGACTTTAGATGTAAACGATTTCTCGCTCTCGCGAAATCGTCGAAGAACAATGTACATTCCCTCGACGACGCAACGACAGAAATCCGGAAGTGATACAGAATGTACGATAAAACCGAGTCAGACCCTGAAGTTCTCCAAAAAATCAATGACACCTCAGCCTAAGAGAAATCTTGCTAAAGAAAGAATAGAAAAGCTGAGACGCAGTTTGGTGGTTGAAGACCCTGACGAGGACACCCCTCATTCCAAGAAAATGAAAAAATCGCCAGAAAAACAAATTCCCAAACCATCATTGTCGACAATTGAAAAAAGCACTTTTCATGATGTTTATAATACTGCAGAAGCGAGGATGCAGGCACTCAAGGAGAGACTTCAGAAAGAAGCAGAAAAAGCTAAAGAAGAAATTCACAATTCCTCAAAGATTCCTCCTAGCTTTTCTTTACCTTCACGAGACTCAGAGGATGGAAGACGAGAACCTTTGGCTCTCCAGGAATTATCATTCGACGAGGAGGCAATGGACTGGGAGCCAATCGAAGACGACATCATAATGCAGGAGATCGAGGCAGTGAGACACGCACTGTTTAATGATCTTTACGACGTCCCAATGGAAGAGCACCCAGAAAAATGTGGTCTGGATCTAGTTGATGGTCAAGTTGAATCGAATCGTCATGCTCTTTACATTGTCATCGACACGAATGTCTTTTTATCGAATATCCAGGCTGTCGAGCAGGCACGTGACACTGTCTTCAAGACTCATGGACGTCCCATCATCGTCATACCTTGGACAGTCATTCGAGAGTTGGATTACATCAAGGATGGCAAAACAAATTCCAGACCTGAGAGTCTAAAGAGCAAAGCACGACAGGCTGTTCGATTTATTCACCGCCATTTCTCTGATAAACATCCCAGAGTTCTGGGACAAACTGCTAGAGATGTCATTAATAATCGGGAGATGTTCGCCATTGAGTGCCCAGATGATGAAATCCTACAGACTTGTCTACAAATACAGAAGTCCTGTAATACAGTCGTTTTGCTGTCCTATGATAAGAATCTTTGTAACAAAGCCATGATTCATGATGTTGTAACACTTGGGAGGAATGATCCATTGGAGAAAGTTGATTATCTCACCGCCAGTGAGTTTAGATCAGAATCTTTACTATCTTCTCATTTAAATCAGACTGGAAATAATCCGAGGTCACCAACGACAACGCAGAGCAAAGAATTGTCAGTTGCTGAAGATATCTTCGAGGATATTAAAGATATCGTTAAGGATTTCCTAACAGTAGTTGTCGCAAAGGAGATGCAGAATTTGTATGGAGAGAATTGGGGAAAATATGTAATTATTCCACCGCCCTGGACTACCATTACTGTCCTTAAATGTGCCATTAAACACTGGATGGCTGCTGTCAATGATTCGTTTATCAGGCGGGCTGAGCCCCTCTTAAAAGAGCTGCACGATCTCATAAATAAATACGAGATGAAGAGGGGCCTCAGGGATGTGGAGCATGTGATTGATATCACGTATGACTTGATACAGTGTCTCATTGTCAAAAAGTATCCAAATTTGATTCAGCGAATTGAAATTGCTGTCCAGGAACTGAGGAAAAAACATTGCGAGGCTGTGCAGGATATTCGGGAGGAAAAATTAAGAGATAAAATTGAGAGGGAGGGAGATAAGGAATTGGAGGCCAGAGCTGAACGTGTCTTCCGTCGATTCGATGAGATTTATTCTTTCGCGAGAGATCTTTGTGGTGCAGCGTGTGAGTCAGTTGGAATGCCTTGCAGCTTCTATTTCAGAAAGTTGGAACCACCCCCTGATGACGACCACATCAGAAATATTCAACCCGAAATCGCTGCAAGTTTGAATCGGCTTCTATTAGTTTTGAGCAGGTAATGTGGAAATATTAATCTTCTTTTCTTAATTCGATAATTAATGAATCAATTTCAAGTAATTCACATATTTTTAATTCATTTTATCTTTTCTTCACTTTCACTGAATGACATTTTCTAATCGAATTAATTTCTTCTTATTACTGTTTTCAACAGGTGCGTAGAAATACGTGTTATTTCATTCTTCAATTTTTTATTTTAATTTCTATTCAATTAGTTTCCTACTGGTTTTTGTAATTAGAATCGTAATCGATTTACTAAGTGTAATTGAAAAAGTGTCATTTAATTTAAATTATAACTCGACTTATTGATTATTATTTTTATTGTAGAGCTCTGGAGGATCTACCACTTCTACACAAAGACCACAGATCGGTTTTAGCTCTTTATGATTCCCTCGAGAACTTCTTGTCGGATCACGATCCCGAGGAGACAGAATCAATATCTCCAATGGATGTCCATGCTTGTTTGAAGTATAAGGAGAAGAATCTTAGATTAGGTGTGCCACAGCTACAACAACTCATCGACCACTTCTGTCGATTGGCAACGTTTCGTTGTCGTTAACGTACTCGCGTTTCCAAAAGCTTTCTAAATTATTTAAATATTTCTCTTTTACGAAAATCACATAAATTATGATTTACTCCATATGGGACACAGTCTTTTGTTGAGTAAAAATATTTTCCAGTGTTTATTTAATTTTGCTTATTAAAGAACTGTGTGGTTCCAAGTTTGATATATATCAAGAAAGACAAATAAAATATTTTCTACAGGACTTCTGGAATTTTTCATTATCATTATTTTTATTTTTATATTGAAGACATTTGTTTTTCATTTTTTGACCTTCTTGCCGCCTTCAAATATTGTACTATCATTCGTTGATGGAAAAAATCCATTTTATTAAAAAATTTCGACCAAATAAATCAATGTGATTTTTAATATTTATCATAATCTATTCAGTACAAAACAGATTTCACAATAGCTTGTTATGATAAAGGCATATTTTTCTCGAATTCAACAAGACAATAACACGTCAAAAAGCGAAGAAATATTGTTTACAAAACTTAAATTTCAATGACAAAAACATTTGATGACAGTGAGTTTCAAGTAAAAAGGAGAATACTCGAAAAGATTTGAATAGTTTCGCTTTCTATTTGAATCATTTCGTTTTTACATATGAAAAATCACTTCACAGCCTGCGGTAATCGGGCCTGCAATTAATTAACATTTCCGAGTCATCAATATTTAAATCAATGCCTATAGAGGAGTGGAAATCCACCTGTTGGTGGCTGAAGCCAATTATCCTTGGAATAACGCACGTCTGTTGTCTCGATAATATGGAAAGTATATGCGTGTCGTGAATTTCCGCTTTTATTGGCCTTAGAGAAGTGAACAACTTGACCATCGATGAGAATGCAGCTGCCCTTTCGCACCGTAACTGGACGAAAATTGCTCATAGGATAACACGGGGCTGGTTTATCGTAAATGAGAAAATCCTGGGAGGCTGGATCCTTGTTCCTGACGTATCTTCTGTGGACACCGCTCTTGTGCGATCCTGGGGCAATCCAGAGGCATCCGTTATCTAGTGTCGCATCATCCAGTGCTATCCAAAATCCAATGAGCTTTACTGGCTCCGTGTGGAGATAAGAAGCGTCCTGATGGGCAATTACTGAAATTTACAAAATGCTCCTTTTACCATTATGACTCTATTTAGGAAATAATTCCATTATTTAGGAGTGCCGCTAATTTAAGGATGTTCTGCATGTATAGTGAAATGATATTTTATTTCAAAGTGTTAATTAGGTGAACTAATAACCATGGAAAATTATTAAATTTTTTTGATTTTATGAATAAATATTATATTGTGTAAAAAAATTACTGGAAAAAAATTGGTCAATTGTCAGGAAATCTTTACCATCGTTTTATATCTATTTTAATAGTAAATTTTCTGAATTTGAACAAAATGTTAGATTTTGGACTCTATTTACAGACATTTTTATTTTCCCCATAAGACACTCTGTTTATTTGAAAACTTTAATAATTAATAACCACAAAACGATGTTGTGAATCAATCTCAAATTTTATACAGGCATCTGTTATCGCTTCAAAAACACGAAAAAATTTTTAAGCCATGTATATATCTCCGCCAATATCGGTAAAGCCTGAAGGATGCCTTCAGTAGCGAAGAGGTAAACTAGGATAAGTGCATTCTTTTAGAGTCCAATTTTGGCCGATATCTCAGAATTGAAAGAAAATAGCGAATTTATTATATGAACATTTTTTATAGAGAATGATGAGACCTACAAAAAAGGTATTCACGAAAAAATCGTTATCTTCCTTCAATTTTGAGATATCGAGTAAAAACCTTTACGTGTTCTTCTATAAATTCGAAATATGTAAAATTATGGGTAATGTCCTGATAAGTTAAGCTGTATGCAGCACAGATTATGGATTCCATGTACTCATTGATTTGTTGGGAAGAAACTTAAGAACTATTATTCGAGAAGCAATAATTTATCATTCGATATGAAAATCTGACGCAATTGCGAATCTCTACTTTGTTTAAAAATTTGAAAAAAAGAGAAAAAGAAAATCCCAAAAGGAAACATAAATATAAAACCACCAAAAAGAAAACGAAATGTGAATTCAGATAATGAAATTCCCATGCGAAACGATTTGATTAAAGATTACAATTTGTTGATCCAATTTTTTTCATCATTCTGTAATTTTTACGTAAATCGCCATTTCGCGATACAATTACTATCTGTAACGTAACGTCTAATGAATTTCTGTGCGAATACAACGATTACTAAAACTCTTACTGAATATTATTAATATTTTTTTAAGGCTCTGGGTAGGAGAGAAATCTTCACAAAAGCTCTAATCCCTCATTGCCTGGGATAATTGCATAATTAAACGAGAATCTCTGTTGGATTTTCTAGATTGAAAAACGGCGGACGAGTATTCATCTGGATTTTTTTTTTGGTGGAGGAGGGAGGCGGAGGGGAGGGAGGTTGAATTTGTTTATTCACCTTCTGACCCCAACCCTGGATTTTTGTAGATATACATGGACTGAACGACCGCGGGCTCCTGGAAATTCAACTGAAACGCAGCCTCCTTTATCCTCTCGTCAAAAGTCAGCCTTTTGAATGTCGGATGAAGCCAGTGAAGAGCATGTGCTACCTAATAACATGTATATCGAGTAAGAAACGTATAAGTATATTTTTCTGTCCATACAATGCATGCGAATCGAAATAAAGATCAGGGGACGAACGAAACTGAACGTAAGCCGATTTACCTTATTCAAAGACACTCTTGGGTGGACCTTCAACTTTCCGTCATCCTCGAGTGACTCGGATTCGAAAAAATAACTAACTTTGTGAGCGCTGTCGAGGAAATACTCATCTTTACTCTGAAAAATGTTTCAATCATTTTAGAATATTTTAATCAATCCCAAAAGTATTTTTTCTCACGATCATAATTATGGCTGTTGCGCGCATTATGATTGAACTCGTCAGAAAAATACTTTTCATGACTTCCGGTATAAATTAGTATTATTACTCAGATTAAATTTATTTGGTTTATAATGCACAGGTGGAGATATTATTTTGTGGATTTAAAAAAATAAAAAACCCAGAAAAATATCTCCAAATAATTAATTTCCATGAATAACGGAGAAATTTATAAATTCAAAATTGAATTTAATATTTCCAAATCAGAAATTTGTATAATTTTGCATCGACGTGAATTAACAAAGAGATCAAGTCTCGGTTTATTGCAAGGCAGAAATGGCCTCATTACACTCCAATCGAGATTGATTAGGTATTTAAATTGTAATTAATGTTTTTGTTAATGACGCATTACATGTATGATACTTTCCATAAAACAGAGTATTGTTCGATCATAAAATATTTTTCTTCCGGCGTTGTAACGCCTTCTGACTCATAAAAGCGTGAGACTTCATTCAAATAATCGTAAAACATTGAGCTATTATCGCTTGTGTTACAAGTACGTAAAGCTGTTTTTTTTTCACGCACGTATAACAGATACTATTCTTCTATAAACCTATCAATCACATTCTTCGCACCCTACAGGGATGCAATGAGTTTTTTGTTTATGTTTTTTTTTTCATAAATAATAAACTTCAATGCTGCCTTTAAAATAGATTTCTAGACGTCTTGAGTCCGGATTAAATGGCTAATTAAACAATTACTTAGAATGTCATCAACAATCAATACAAATGGAGGCCGTAATATCACCAAATTAATTAGAATCGTAACTTTGAAAATCATAATTATTTCACCTAAAAACAATTAAGCAATGACATAATAACCTGTTGGCTATCAACTGTGCTGAAAACTCTCCTTTGATTTTCCGGTGGTAAATTATTAGTGAACTCCTCCCCACAACTCTTCATCTCGTCTACCTCCTCAGGGGTGAAAAAATTCTCCAACACAGCGTACCCATCCTTCTGAATCTGCAAAGCAAATTGAACCAATGACAGCAATCTCCATAAAATTAATTAAACTGACGATACATTAGACGAAATGAGGCATAAATGATAGTGGGTGCAGTGAGTCAAACAAAACATCTCCTCATCTCCAAGTCCCCCTGACAGCACTTGAAAATCCTCATGACAGCATCAATGTACCAAAAACCTATCTTCCCTCTTTCCATCTCCAATCCCCTACCATCAAACATAGACGATGCATTCAATTTAGTTTGATTTGAGTTTAGTTTGTTTAGCGTTGTTCTGCTATCGAGTCATACTAGTCGAGCAAGCACATTTGGCTTTAACTATTTGCATCGTGTGAGCGTAACCATTTTATTTCTACATGTTTCTGGCCTGTGTAAATTAATCTCAACGCTCTATCAACCCCCAATAGGGCATTCCGAACTCAAGCTTGATAATAAATTCTGCAGGTTTCATTCCTTCGAATATCGCATCATCAATAAAATCCCAGATTGCCCGATGGAATAGAGTTACTCCGTACCAAATTCGTTAATTGGAAATTGAGAAGAGTGAGTGAAAGAAACCTAACAAAGGTCAGACTTTATTTTTGGTCATCTCCCTTCCGGGATGCGTTGGTCAGTCGCAGGTTCAACGGAATCAGCCTAAACATAGCGCATACCACAGCTCCTCATCATACATTTTTCACCTCAAGTCGTCGAATGAGATAAAAATGAAGAAAATAAAAGTGCCTTTATCCAATCAAAAAGGAGAAGGTACCTTGAGACTGTTTGGAACCGGATATAAAAGAACCACGAGGCGAGAAATTCCAGTAACATTTTGAGAATGCGCTGGAGTTTAATAATAACCCGTGCATCGATAAATGACGAGTTAAAAATAAACCCACCCTGTTGTGGATTCTGCGAGGTATGCTCATGACACAGGTATCCTGGGTATCCCACACCCACCGAGGGGTAGACAAGGATAACACAATGTAAATAAATGAATACACTGAATAATAATACTCTATCTCTCTCAGTTATTCAGTTAAAATACTGGATGCTGTCTTCGTTCAACACTCGGTCCATTTTTCATCAATGACTCTCACATCGAAAATACCCAAACAAGAAACAACACGGGAATATCCATGAATTTAACACCCAATGAATTCGAACATCTCTCGGTTAAATCTGGTCAACACGAGGGCTATTTTTAGTATCACCTAACGCATACCTTTTGGAGCTCCGCAAGCCTGTAAACAGGAAAAGATAAAAATTTTGTTTGGGTATCACATGAGATATTTATTGCCCTCTGAACTATTTCGAACGAGTCGGATATTGCCGCCATTCTTTCAGTACTATTTCTCTTTATTTATGCTTCCGGATTTATTGAAATTATTCGAGTAATTTAGATAATCGTTATTACAAGCATTAACCGTCTGCTCGATTATTTCTTCAATTATCATTTGATTAATTTAATATAATATCATTTTAGCCTTTATTTTCGATATTTATTGCAGGATTTATTAATCAGTAATTAATCATTTATTTATGCTTCCGGATTTATTGAAATTATTCGAGTAATTTAAATAATCGTTATTACAAGCGTTAACCGTTTGCTCGATTATTTCTTCAATTATCATTTGATTAATTTAATATAATATCATTTCAGCCTTTATTTTCGATATTTATCGCCGGATTTATTAATCAGTAATTAATCATGCAACATCCGCAAGTTCACATTCTGTTAAGATAACACTGAAACAATTATTTTTAGTTATAATTGGATAAATTTTATATGATTGACCGTTTTGTAATTATCAGTGATGCCGAATCTGGTGATTTTTGAAAAAGAATTTTTAATTTTTTAGGAACTAATGGATTTTAGAAATTAAAATGGTAATATAACAGAATATACTGTATTTTTAATTAATTTAAAAGACAAAGGTTTTTTTGAGGATCAAAAATTACATCCCAGCTCCTGAGTTTAGAATTAGTCATCATAATCCAGAAAATTACAATTCTGCAATCGACAAATGCAAAAATCGAATCTCCTGTAATTTTCATTTTGAAGTTTCATTTTGAAATATATAAATCGCTCATCGATATCATTGATTAGATTAGATTAATTAATTACTGGTGTGATCGAGTTGTGGATTGCTCTCTAATCTTCGTATGGTATACGAGATGTGCCAGGTAATTAAGTTGGAATTTGAATCGGCGAATGAATGAGCTAGAGGTCGAAAATAATCACTGACCACAGGTGGGCGGTATGATACACAATAACGTCACGAGCGCCATATGTCTTGGCAATTCAACTCGAATGAATCGTATATGCGAATGAAAATAGATCAGGAAGCCTGAACATTGAATGAGAAATACGCGATAGGATTTCCCCATTCTCGATGATTTGACGACATTCAGGGTTTCTCTTATTTCTTCCGCTTTTATCGCTCCACTTCGCCACATCTTTTTTTCTCTGTGCACTTATGTAAATTTAAACCTGATGCTGTGTTAATATAGGTCAAGATTACACCGCGATTTCCCCTTTATCGTCATGGGAAAATGTAAAATAAATTTTAAGGAATTAATGGGGAATAAATGGGGGGTAATAGAGGGGAATGTATTTGAGTTATCTATCGTCGCGCTTTAAGTGTTGGACGCTGATTACAGAAGTATCAAAACAAGAAACGGATGGGAGAAGAATGGGAATGAGTATTTTCGAGTGGCTGAGAGTGAAATGAATCTATTATGGCAGCTGAGGATGATTTACACCGAGGGAAATTAATTTTATTCTCAGCGTCACTGCGTTTAATTCAGAATATCAAAGTTCGTCTGCCCGTTAAATTGGTTTTGCAACAAATTGTAAGAGAATTAAAATCTTGAATGATTTTATGATTAAAGATATCAACATACTTGTGCGTTTATGTCTTTCATTCTGCTTGATGCACCCAAATAATCAAGGATGATTATTTTCAAAGCAATTAATGCTCACCACTCTACACGCGTTTATTGTTATTCTTTGGATTACTTTTTTCGTTGTCAGCGAAATTTATATGAAACTCGCTCACTTCGTCTATAACAACGTTGGACTGATTTTCCACGGACTGATGATGAAGAGTCAGAGGAAGTCCAAGCAACATATATATCACCCACACAATTGTAATCGCTACTACAGACACAAGCAAAATGACGAAGTGGCAAGTGTGAGCTGCGCGTAAGCCAGTAATACGTATATGTTTTTTTTATTTAACTTGGCAACTGTTTACACACGTCTGTTATTTCGTCCAAATGGACTCGAATGCTCCCGATGACTCAACGAATGCCTTCGACCTTTGTATCTTTGGGGTAAATGTTGTCAGCTATGATGATTACACAGGGAGAAAAAAGTACTGCAAAGTAGTTAACAATTATTAGCGAAAGTCGTAAACTAGGATAAGTGCCAGTTTTTAGTCGGTATCTCGGAATTGAAGGGACACAGCGAATTTTTCATCTCAACATTTTTTGGAGAAGAAGATGAGAGCTACAAAAAAGGTATCTATGGAAAAAACAGTGTCTTCCTTCAATTTCGAGATATTGGCCAAAAACTGGAATTGACAAAGTGGGCTTATCCTATTTTACCTCTTCGGTACAGAAATTATTATTTCCATCGAAAAGTAATCCAGAAAAATACAGTTTACCGATTCTATCACAGCACCAGAGAAGTCGTTGATCAATTAAGTAAATTTTTCGGAATAATAATTGTTGCGATAAATTTATGAACATTTTTTTGTACAACTCGAATTTCAGGATTTATACACAATGAAATGAACATTAACTAAAATATCGTTTATTCATAAAAAAAGATAAAACGATTCGTCAACAATAATAATCAGCAACACGTCATAGAATTCCAGTCGATTTTCCGTGAGGTGTGATCTTTTCTCTTGATTAGTATCAATCAACTCACTAAAAAAGCGCTGACAAGTAAAAAAGTAAAAATAGATGAGATAATTTTTCTCAACGTGAACGTAAACATGTCAAATAAAAAAATGGGAATTTTTTTATCCATTGTCGCTCAATCTGCCCCAAGAGTTTATCAAACGAGGTGAAAAGATCCCGAGACATGAATATATCCGTAAAGAACAGTCAAGGCTGCCATCGAACAACTACCGCTTATTTAAATATATGAGGGATTATGATAACCGACTTCACTTGGATAATCTAAATTTAGAATAGATTAACAATCAAAATATAAAAACACCCGTCGACTACACGTGCAGAAGTTCAAAGTTTCTGGGGAGAAAATAAATTGGTACATCCACTGATAAGACAATAAGAGATGAACTCCTTTCAATTCGAGCACGAAGAGGTTTACCGTTTGCTAATTCCTCAAGATCAAATTTTCTCGAAAATAAATCAATATTAAATTGATACGACACCTGGACGGCGCCTTCCTCACAGAAAATCTCTATTTTTTAGACTATGAAAAAATATTTTTAATTATGTCCAAGTCAAAGGAAAAGTTTATGACCCTTTCTATAATTCGTTATATTTATCGCAATTAATTTTCAATCAATATTTAAATGTGTTAATTAGTTGACGTAATAATATTATATTGTTTAAACAAATTGATTGAATCGTCATGAAATTTTTACCGTCGTTTTACATCTGCTTCAATAGTAAATTTTCGAAATTTCAATGAAATTTTATATTTTGGATTTACAGACATTTTTATTTTCCCCATAAGACACTGTGTTAATTGGAAAGTTTAATAATTAATAACCACAAAACGGTGTTGTGAATCAATTTCAAATTTTATACAGACATCTACTATCGCGTCAAAAACATTATGTGACAATTTCAAGCAATTCTTATATCTTCGCCAATACATACAAAACAACCTTAAAATACATGGGGACTATTGAGGTATCACAATCGCTCTTCGGGTCTTCAGAGTCAAATAATATGTTTGTGTTCTTCTACACGGTCTAATTTATTTTTTCCTTATCTCTCCTCTCCGTAAGAGTGCGAATTATCTCTTTTTTACAATCGCGTCTAGTCGAAACTGGATTTTTTGCAAAATAGGTCTCACGCGATAATTAAAATGATCTCTTGTTATCAGAAATTATATTCTTCATTTTATATCTCTGACCCAATGAAGATAAAAATAAAACTGTTACTTCAATTTCATCTTTTCTATGAGGAATGAGGAAGTGTATTTATAGAAAACAATGCAGTATGTAAACTGAATGCATCAATGCGTGTCATAAAAGATGTGCCAGTTACGCGGCCACTGGGAACAAGTGCCCTCGACCTGATGACTTGATAAACATTACATAAAAGTAAATAGAAATCTGAATTGGCCACTACCCCATGGAATCCTGTAAAAACGACCTATCCTCGATAATGAAATAATTAGATGTTCAGAATTCCCGTCACTCGCCGCCTCTTCCATTTATTTACTCCGTCAAGTGTTGAAATCCGTACATAACCTTTATTTACACTGTAGATTATGAAAGAATTGTTATCACTACTTTTCGCTAGACCAAGTCTGTTATGATAGTGAATCCCCACTTTTATCTGTCGCGCAGAGATTATTTCATGGTATGTTGTCATGAGACTGAGGGGAAGAAAAAATCTCACCTATGTACCATGATAACACAGACAGAAACCTATATAATACATATATATATCAATCAACCCCATGAAAAAGTAAAAATAAAGAAATCCCATATGATAAGTAAATATTGAAAATTGCCAATCGTCTCTTCAATGAAATTAATTACGAAAGTACGTATCATTCTCTCATATTTGTGTTGTCATTATCAAAACAAATACCAAAGGAAAAAAAATTAATTAATTACTGGTAATATCGTTAAATCCGGGACAACCTCGCACATCAGTCTCTCCTTCTGCTGGGGATGAGACATACACAGGGGGTAACATAGGAGCGTATAAATGCGCGGTGATCCGAGTACGTGAGACTTATTAGAGTAGAGAGAGTTGCCAGAGCCAGAGTAGTGGATAAAACGGTAGTGACAGCATCAAGTAGTTTTGAGAGGGAGACAAAAAAAGGATCACCCTCCTGTTGACATATCATTGCAACATACGCGTACATACGCGTAAATACCCATACATACCCGTACATACTCGTACATATACCCGTCCACATACCCGTCCACATACCCGTCCACAAGTACCAGTACCAAACGAAAATTGCCATTTGATTTTTTTCGACTCTGGATCATCCCCGCCCGACCTACCCCTTTTTCCAAAAGTCTTCTAAAGTCGAATTTGAATTTTTTTCACCGAAAAGAAAATTTTGAGAAATTCCCCAGTCGTAATCGCACGCGAAAAATATCAAGTCACCCCATCACGAGCCCTCGTCCCTTCGTTCAATCACCCCTTGTAAATCCACCCCCTAACCCAATCCCTCGTTATTCTTTCGTTTCCACCCCAACCCTCTCCATCCCCTTGAGTAGCTCTCTCTGTTCATTCTCCGCGATGTAATACCAACGAAGAGAAATAACATCGTCTCTCTCCGATATCGAACTAACGATCCACAAACCATTTTCCCTCCTTATCATTTGGCAAGGTACATGTATAAATAGTTTTTACATACACATACCCAAGCCTATTTACCATCCCTTTCTAAGACCACCTGTCCAGGCGTGAGTAGACGACCTGAGCGTTCATGGCGCCGGGCTCAAGTTTCACGATCGATTTCGCGTGTACATGTTCGAACGTAGGGAAAAACAAGAATAGTAGTTACAACCAGCGTCAGAAGGTGAGGTGAAAGCTCAGACGTCTGCCCCAAAAGTTATTGTCAATAGAAAAAGGAGAAAGAAAAAATTGTACGACCGAGTGCTCTTATCTGGGTCATCGGTAATTTGTTGATAGAGCTTTCTTGTTAATGTTCATCTCTCTTCGTGTTCATGGTCGAGGGTCAGATTGGAGACCAACGGGCAAAAAATCACTCAACAATTTTGATATTTCGGTGAGTACAGCTTAATTGGAGTTATTACTGTATAAGATCTGGTAGTCTCCGACGATTTTGTTTGATGATCCGTACACAGGGGGAAATGTGATTTCACTGTATTCAGTTATCGGATAACAGATCTATAATAGTTGCGTGATGAATTCAATCGTACGAATCATCTTGGTCTATCAATCGGGGCATAATTACACGGGCTTAATTGAGGTGAAGTACATAGCATCAATCATCAATTGTTTTATTAGTACCAGGTCATTTGTTTGCCTCTATCCGTTCGCAAATGGTAATTGTTATTATGTACCAGCACTTAGTCCATATACCGTTCTCTCGACAATCTCGCAAAATCCCGTTTGGTCAGACACTGGCAATCGCGTGCTAAACACGATTGTTACTCCACGAATATCCTAACGATTTTAAAATAATTCCAATCTTCATTTTTTCTTCAAGAACGTATCTCTTCATTGTATTTTATTTATCCATTTTTCAAAATCTCGTTTATTTTTCATTGCATTCTATTTCTTTTTCCTCCCACTTTGTCACTCGTTTTCCTTCGGCCTTCGCGCAAAGGTCGCATCGCGGTCGTTCCACACCTCCAGGAATGCCAAAACGAGTTTGTTCATCATATAAAAAACCAGCAAAATAATAAACGGAAAAGAGAAATAAATAAATAAAAAATGAGGGAAAAACCACAGGGAGTTTGTGTAATGGAGATTGGTCTATTTAAAGATACTCCGTAAATAGAATCTAATTATACATCCACGCAATATCTGTCCCGCAAGACGAGGAAACCGGTATTAATAAAGGTGGGGAAAGGAGAAGACTCATAATATCAATTGCGGATGAATAAGTCTATTTTATTTCAATGTTGATAGCCGGGAGAATCTCTAAGTGATATAAATCCACATTGTTTACCATGTTTTGTTGAGAATTTTTGATCTATGATCCTTCCACTTTGTACACGATAGGTCTCATGAGATAACCTATTATGGGTATTATTTATCTTTAGAGACCATGGTACCCTTTTTATCGCAAACCTCAATACAGATTACGAGACGATCTCTGCGTTTTCGTACAGAAATGCATCTTAAGCTCCACGTGGTTCATTGTAATCATTCGTTCTCGAGCTTTTGTCATTGTTTTGCAATATACACAACAAACAAATGTCGATTGATTATTGTTATTTCTCATGACCTGTATCAGAGATTTCAATGCATGATGGAGAAATCTCGTTGTAAAATTCCGGTGGAGGTGAACTGAGGAGGTAGAGGGGGAGTATGAAATTTTATGACTTTTCTGTCGTCTTGGAGTCGTGGCTGGAATTTAAATAATAATTATGTTAATTTAATTGAAGTTTCACTGTTTATTTAGTCGCGTGATGAAGATACATTCTGATCTTTAGACTAATTACGATTATTCGAGATGAATCACGGAAAATGAGACGTTGGCAATGCATTTTTCCATTTTTCTTTGTCTTTTGTTAGATATCTCGTTTCGTTTTGTCTAGAATATTTGTGGCTACCAACAATCCGCTCCACGCAAAATAAACAACACAACTATTATAAAAATAATAAAAAAAAACGGAGCGGGTTCGTTGGTAAACTCTATACGCATTTTATTGAGCTTTGTATTAGTTTTTCGATGGCTCTATTGAAATTTCCCGTGAAAAATTCCAAGCGAAAAGCTCAAATGATTTCCATTTTCCATTTCACTTATTCGATGGAAATTTTTTTTGTGGAATATCAGCGGATCAAATATTTCTGTTTACGTCTTGGTTTTATTTTTTTCTATAAGGAGAAAGAAGAAATAGAATATGAAAAATTTCGGCAGATTTGAGCTAGGCAAATTCTAGAGAAAATATTTCAAGAGACTAAAATGAGTAGAAAAATGGAATTGTTTCCATTTTTTTTATGAAGAATGTTTTATTTAATAAATTAATAGAAAACCGATAGAAACTTTAATAGAAATCTTCATATAATTATCTAATGTATTCACAGAAGTTTTTCAATAAAAGTTTATGGCGCGAGAGTTTTTGGATAATTCAGACTGAAAATTTTTATGGTTCGTTCTGAAATCTGTCAAATACTGCAGAAATTAGTTTTGAATAATCCCTCGTGAATAGACACCTAATATAATTCTTTCACGAATTCGTAAAGTATTTTAATTAAATTTATACGTGCGCGGATTTCTACACAACCCAAACTGACGAGTTTTATCAGTTGATTGGAAAATCTGTGAAATAGCGTAAAAATTCGTTTAATCGTATTATCTATTCTTATAAAATCGAAACTATATTTCAGCACGTGGAGATAACAATCAGACAAGTCCCAACGCAATCCCTAGGATTTTCTTTATCATTTTTCCAAGCGCAAGTTTTTAAAAAACTCAAACTAAAGAGTTTCATACTATAATACGAGAATGCATAAAATATTCTAGAAATTGGTTTCCAAATAACTGTTTTACGAAATCTAAAATATGCCCGACGGGAAATGTTCGCCAGAAAATCGAAATGGTAATGACAATTTCCCGTGCAATCTTCACTCATTCACTCCTAAATGAAATTATAACTCAGTTTTTCTAGTAATAATTCCTAAACTACACCGTCACGATAAATTGAAGAGAAAAATCGTGTAACTGGGTATGTTGTAAATTTTTTCGTCTTAATTCTGGAAGAAGATCTCTGATGAGTCCTCGGAGTAGTCTACAGAGGTCCACAGGCCCCCGGATACGTTCGCGGTTACGAGTCAGAGAAGTGAGGGTGGGGCAAAACACATTACCACAATCTCTGTAACGCCTCGCTCTAGGCTTTTTAAGGGCTGGCTAGGGTCTCCAGCCTCTCAGTCATCAGCGAGCTCTGAAGACTCATCGAGCCCACTCCAACAGTCCAGTCATTCCATCCCAATAACGAAAATAATTGTTCAATTATAGACACCTGAATAATTGGTAGATCAGGCCAAACCATGAGACACACTCTGATTGGATTTCTGCTGATAGCTATGGTATGTGGTTCTAAAGCCGAAGCGACTTACGTCTGCCTCGAGGACAATCCTGATCTCGCGCCCTGCAATTTTGAAAGGTAACGATGAGTCCCATATTTTTTAAATTCAAATCTTTCTTGGTTTTTTGGCTTTTTTTTTTTGTTGAGTTATTGATGGGTTGGTTTGATTGTATTGTGAAGGATGCAGAGGGCTTCTGTCGAGGGTAACTTTGAAGAGAAAACAAAGATCAGTAATGGGGCTGTGATGGAAAGTTTGTATCAGGCTCCTGATGGCACAGTTGTCGTTTATAAACTCGAAGGCTGTCTTCCTGGGAGGTGAGAGTATTTTTCATAGCTTGTCAACAGGAGGTTGAAGGATTGGGGATAAAATGGTGATTTTGTTTAGGTTGCCGTTTACATTGCCAATTTGTAAGACTGAAGACACTGTTGGTCGTGTTGTGGAGGTCAGAAGACTTTTTCCTTTCGTGATCTCTGGTGATCCGCCCACGGCACCACTCATTTTTCCGGAAGTCGAAGCCGCTCAGCTGTACAAATCAACAGGGGATCTTCAGAAGACGTATGATCCGGTCATTGTGAGTATTCATTTTTTTTTGTGATTCAGTGAAATAATGTGCAGCTCCCGGTTAATTCGTATTTATTTCTATCGAGTGGTTGTCTTCTCACATGATGAGATCATTATCGGAACAAGTGTTACTATAAAGATAAAATCTTCAACCGTAGTTCAGTTTTACCCCGTCGGTTCAATAGTTCATGTAAATGTAAATGCTTATGTCAATTCTTCTAAATTTGTTTTTTTTATCAGGTTCAATTCTATTACTGAACATTTTGAGAAATATTCTACTAGGTTCGATTGCACTTTCGAAATGATTGCGTCGATTTTTTTTATTTGGATCGATCAAGATGTAACTGTTCATCAAAAATTTTGAAATTATTAAAAAATAGAAATGAAATAATAATATATAATATAGTAATTTCACTAAAATTCCGTTTTTCGAGTAGTTATTCAATATGTCGAAAACTTCGCTCTTTCAAAATGCACCGATGAAGACAAATTTAAACTTAATCTTCAATGAAATGAAACTTGTTAACCCGAAATGGAGTTTGAAGTCAATAGTTCACTAGTTCATTTCAGTTTAAAAATGTATATCAATCCGTCCGAACGTCCCAGAAATACACCTACAAATTGTATTCATATGATTGTTGTATATAATCTGATTATATATATACCCCCGAGGTCAGAAACACTGGAGTATTTATTTTTCATGTACATTTAATTAATTCTTATCCACTTGGTAGCCTTGAACTTCTCACATTCCTCTAAAATAAAAATACTCCGCTAATTTTTAAATAAAAACGTTGATTATTTAATCTAAACTGAAAATTCGTGCATTTGCGCTCGCATTGAATATAATTTTGAACTTTTTTTACAGAGCAGACAAGACTTGAAATCACCAATGAGATTATCCCAGAGAAAGAAGAAATTGAATTTCGAAAATTCGAAGAAGAATCGCAAACATGAGAAAACATTGAACGCAGAAATGATGGAAAACATTAGATTTTCATCAATTCTACCCTCTCTATTCAAATCGAAGCATTACAGAAGACGAAATGACATCGACACCATTGAGGGATTGCAGAAATCCGAGAGGATGGGCCGTCAATATCTCGAGGCTTCTCTACCAGAGTATGAGCCCCCATATGCCCGAGCGACTCCATACACCCTGCAAAAAGTTGAAAGGCTTCTTCATCTACCAAAGGACTCACTACGCACTGAGGAATATCCAAGACAGAGCAGTGAAATTCCTTTCTCTCGTGAAATTTCATTCGAGTCTGAAAAGCACAAAAATCATCTTCACGATCCAAACTCGAGACGTTTTCACTCATTGCAAGTACCAAAATACTTTCCCTACGATAGATCAATTCCCTATAATCCTCTTCAAGTCGAGCAATTGCTTATGTGGGTCAAGAATCGCGATGAGTTGCCAGAATCGAAGGTGTGGAAAAGGGAAGTAATAAACGAGGGTGATGAATTTCCTTACAACAAAGCAATACCTTATAATCACTGGAAAGTATCGGAATTCAGAAGACGACTTGAATCACGATCCGCGGGTCGTGTTAAGGAGTAAAAAAATATGAAGATCATTTTGAACTGAAGTTAAACTGTAGTTTGAAGGAAGAATATATTAATCAAGTCTATTTTGTGGACTTAAATTCGAGAGATAAGAGAGAAATAATGTGGGAATTATCATTTTGAATACTCGAAAAATTGCTCTCGATGTTTGGCGCGTTGCCGAAAAATATTGTGATACGTAACGTAAGACACTAACATGTTTATTATTATTTTTTTTATCATAGTTAATTATTTGTGATTACACTTCTCTCAAGGGGAACATGAGAGACATGAAAGTCGATGCTGTGACGAAGCAATTATGCGATGTGTAGTGTAAGCTATGTTTCATATGGAGACAAGTACTTCGCTTTTTCAAGTGTGAGGATAAAGAGAATTCTTGGTAGCATATCAATGAATATTAGAAGACAAAAGCTCTCGTGTAATCACTGCAAATGGTTTATTTCCATCTAATCATGTTAGAAAACCGGAAAGAAAATTCCCTCTGCGCACTCTCATTACATTTATACATACTTTTCTTCACTACTTACTAGAAAGTAATTGTAAACTACGCAAAGGCGATAAAATATATTACAAGTTTGAATCTTCGTGTGTTTTCAATGATTTATCGAATTTTTCTACTCCCCATTACAATTCGACACTGATTTAAGAAATGATTGAATAGTACATTTTTTAACTCAAAGAAATAGTTTGTGACCTAGGAATATTTCAAGAATGGATTGATGAAATGTTTGAATATTAAGAAACAATTAATCTGACGATATAATTATCATTTTTACGCCGCAATTTATTTGTTTAATGAATTTTGGTAAGGAATCCTAAGTATTTTTTCTAATACATTTTCTTGATGTCCTTGATTACATCAGTCATAATATCTATTTTATTTATTTACGTTCAAATTCATCGGATTGTTCTACATCTCCAGTGATGTCGATCGTTGCATCTAAGATTTCTTGCAGCCTCTCTGCCGCATTTGGCGATCCATCAGCTTCATAAGCGCTGATAACTTCAGCAATAACTTCAGATGCTTCTTCTCGGTCGTCGTCGAGAACTGGAACTAATGCCTGAGATGTTTGAGAATTGGGCGCATTCCCAGAACCTTCGACTTTTTCGGTTTCTCCAGAAGTGGTCACACCGTTTTGGGCGGGAGTTTCAACTGGTGTAGTTTGTTCGCTTGGCAATTCTGATGTGACAGCATCGGTTGTCGTAGCTTCTGTCGTAGAGAATTCGTCTTCTGAAGGGATCAATCTCCCTGATGAGGGAGATTGAGGTGATGAAATTTCTGATTTTGCAGAAACTTCGGTTGATGGAGCTCCTGTTGAACGAGTTATGCGTGAGTTCTTTTTGGGTGATGAGGGAGATGGAGGTGATGAAATTTCTGATGTTGCAGAAGCTTCGGTTGATGAATCTTGAAGCGTTGTGGTATCATCAGTTGAGTCAGTTTCTGATGTTGAAGAAGCTTCGGTTGATGGATCATGAAGCGTTGTGGTACTTTCAGTTGTATCAGTTTCTGATGTTGAAGAAGCCTCAGTTGATAAATCTTGAAGCGTTGTGGTACCTTCAGTTGAATCAGTTTCTGATGTTGAAGAAGCTTCGGTTGATGGATCTTGAAGCGTTGTGGTACTTTCAGTTCTATCAGTTTCTGATGTTGAAGGAGCTTCAGTTGATAAATCTTGAAGCGTTGTGGTACTTTCAGTTTTATCAGTTTCTGATGTTGAAGGAGCTTCAGTTGGTAAATCATGAAGCGTTGTGGTGCCTACAGTCGAGTCAATCTCTGATGTTGAAGGAGCTTCGGTTGATGGATCTTGAAGAGTGGTAGGAGCTTCGGTTGACGAAATTTCCGGTGTTGAAGAATCTTCGGTTGAGAAAATATTTGGTGTCGAAGTGGCTTCAGTCCATGGGTATACGACGATGGTTGGAATGATCTGCTAAAGTTGAAAAATAATTGATTTCATGAATCTCAAATAAATCGACTTCAATAAATCGTTAGGCTTTAATTTATTATTAATGCTCTCGTGGAAATTTGCCGATAGATTCCGTCAACTAATGGCTTGAAATTTCCAAAAACGCAAAAAGTCCTGAATATTCGGAATTTCAACATAAAATCACGAATCATTATAACCAATACATGAAATTATACCATAAATAATTCATGTAATTAGTAACAAAGAAGCGGAAATTTTATGCCAAATTTCAAGTAGATGAATCAGTTTTTCGTGGCTAATAATTGTTTTTTTAAATAGAAAAATTCAAATATCTCAAAAACTTAGTATGGATGGGTATACATAAAAATGAAATGATTGATTTAATTAATGAAAATGGAGTACATCGAAACGAATATTTTGAGAGGTGAAAAATTGAAAAAGTTTTAATAAATTTTGAGATATTTGCGAAAGACGGCTGATAATCAAATGGCAAGTTATAAAAAGGGGCGGGACAATCGAGTAGAATTTAGATAGACTTAATCCTTAGTGATACCTATAATGTGACAAAATTTCACTTTCCTGAGAATAATTTCAGCCGTTCATCCCTTCCCTTTCTAAAAGAGTGGGCGAACCGTGCGCATTTTGTATTTCTTATGTATTGTATTGTATTTCTAATGTCCATGCGAAATTAGAAAAATCACAAGGCTTCCGTTTGCAAGCAAAAAGGTATTTTCGAAAATATCAAATCCTTCAACATCAATGAATTGTTTAAAAACTAAGAATTCTAAAAAATGGAAATTTTCACTTACGTTATAGCTATCATTACGCTTGAAGAAGTACTCAAATACCGGAGAAAGCGACCGCTTCCTCAATCGTTGGTAGAAAGGTGGCCAGGGGTAGTTCGAAGGAGTATCCCAGGCGGGCAAAACGTTAAACAGGGGCGTGGCTTCTACAAGAATTTCTTCGTTCTGAATGGTTTTCTCAGCGAAGTCATTCTTCTCTGTATAAGAGGTTTGCAGCTGCTGGGTATTCAGGACATCTTGGTCTCTTCCATGATTTCCGTGCTCATCAACGTGAACACCGTCGAAAAATGTCTGATGGACTTCCATCTTGCTGAAGGTCTGGCCTGGAGTCGAAGCCTGATTGACGTAGAAAAATTGTGTCGAAGTTACTTGCCCATTACCATCTCGGGTTTCACTCGTTTTCTTGCAACGAACTTGATCACAACCCAATGATTTAATTACATCATAGGGCGAGGGTCCCAATTTCGTGGAACCTGGAGCTTGAGACGAATTTTCTTGAACCACACGCGGCGGAGAAGAATTCTTTTTGCCATCAGGTACTTGTGGTGGAAATAGTGATGACTCAGTTGTAGTCGTGGCAATGGCTTCCTGTACTTTATCATTTTTCGCGATCTGTTCAGTTACATTTGCCGGAAGTGCATCGCTCATTCCAGGTTCAGCGATACTTCGTTTTAGCAATTGCGCGTGAAGAGGAGATGGTTTTTTCTCCAGTCCTACTCCCAATAGTTCCAGCAAATTCTGGCTTCGCGTAATTTGAGCTGCTCGGGCCTTATATATAGGGTTTGCCTGAGTTGGGCCCGTCTTGGCTTCCTCGTAATTTTCACAAATTGGATACTCCGGGCCAAGATAAGACAAGTCCGTGAAAATGGTGGCAACCACGGGGGAATCCACTATTTCCGTTTCCTGAACGACGAAATCTTTGTTTTCATTTGACTGAGGATTTTTAGGCGTTATCACAAGATTCTCCCCTTCTCGTTTACCCCAAAAAAGTGCATCGTCCTCTCGTTCCAAGATATGTACTCTGTCTTCTATCAATAGTGTGCGAACTCTGGTCTTTCCAACATTAATGGCATCTGCCCAGCTGTCAGCCCGGATGGCGAGACTCTCGAAGACCTCCGGACCTATCAATCGGACAGATGATTGAGTATTCTCCACAGTTTGAAATGTCTCTTTTCCATTCGACTCCACCGATTCATGATTCAATTTTGATGTACGATTGGACATCGAAGCGAGAACATTTTCACCATAAATAACACACACAGGCTGACGCCACTTGACTATTTTAGCGACTTGATCTTCATAATGTCCCGCAGTGTTTGTCTTGATCGGTAGAATCTCACTCACTTCCACAGCGTAAACGATCGTGAATAAAAATAGTAAAACGACCGAAATTTCCATGATTTCTGATTCTCAAATAGGTTCTATACCATCGAGTCGAGAAGGTAAACTGATCCTCTGGGGTGAGTGGTCTCATCTTTATAGAAAAACGAAGGCACCACCGAGCCAATGAGAGGTCCCACAATTTTCATGGGGTATAGAAACTAAATTACATTTTCCTGGACAACCCTGGAATTTGGGGAAGGGACAGCGGTAACGACGGCTCTTCCTAATGCATTTCGATAATCCGCTCTGGGATACCTAGAATTATCTGTCTTACCTGCGCCAGGTAATCCCGGTATTATTGTAGGCCGACTGCAGTGGAAATCTACTGTTGGCGAAAATCCCAACGAATTATATCCTCTCTCTCACCGAGTCCCTCAGCAATAAAATATCTATTCATTCCTCTACCAGGTAGAGGAACCAGGTAGAGGAACCAGGTAGAGTCTACCTGAGTCTTTTAGTGGTCATTATATTACCCTGAAAAGGAAAAACTCAGTCGCCAGCAATTCGTCTCGACAATTGCAACGGGCACTGACGGCTCGGGGGAAACAGAGACAGAATGTGAAAAGGAAATATTTTGAAAACTATTTAAAATCGAGGATTATGGGGTGCGTCATCGCTGAAAATATTCACGTACAGAGTAGCTGGACACGATCTGGACATGTTTGGAAGTTGTTCAAATGGCATATATCTGTCCTCTTGTCTTGCGAAAGTAACCCGGCTCTCTTCCAGTTTCCATGTGTGGGTTTGGGTTAAATGATGATGAATGAACTAAATCGTGAATTTTTTGTCTCTCATTTCTCTTGAATTTCGAGTCAACAGATTCAGATATTAATTATGCAGTTGGTTCCACGAACTTCAAGAAGTTGAATCCGAGAGGCCATTTATCCATTTCTTATGGTGAAATCACTGTGTCACTTTTAACTGAAACCACATGAAATCACTCCTGAAATTATGTGCAATCGTTTTAAAATCACTTGAAATCAGCAATCATTGTTTAGTATAAACTATATAATAATAATAAATATGAATAAAAGACGTGGAAAACTCGATTGTTCAATTCCATATTCGGAGTATTGAAATTTTGATCGGTTATATTCTCTAATTTCGCAGTTATTTCTGGAAAAATCACTCAATTAACGGATTAACTCACGTTTATTATTAAATTTGAATATAGAAGTAAGAAATCTATATTTTTTTAGCATCAACTTACCTCGAGCTATATTATGAGGCATTTTATGAGTATTACGATGAAGAGAACGAGGAGTAAGAGTGCATTAAAGTTAATAACAAATAATAGATATGAATATACAAATACGGAAATAGAAATGATTTGTCACATCGAAACTTGAGAATTGAAATGAAGTGGTCCATTCGTTCCGAAATTCGAGAAGGCAGTACTTTTTCACGAACGAAAGCCCAAAATGCTGAGGGTTTTTTCAATAGGTCTCTGTGACGTCATCTGTAAGACAAACAATACATTAACGTAATCTTTACATTTTGACAAACGTCATATTAATTGAGATGATTAATTTTGCTAATTTCAATAAACGTGTGTAGGAGACACAATATTTTACGATTATTTAATTATTTGACTCGATCTTCCTTTGATTGTTAACAATTGAACTTTGGTTAAAGATTCTATATAATATAAGCTGGGTTGGTTGTGGTATATGTTGCTCGAGAGTTCGTCTCGAAGTCCTCGGTCCCCAATTCGTCCAGGGTGTCAGGTCTACGCATTAGACAAGGCCCTTTGTCTATGGGGTTGGTCCACGTGTTGGGCTGTTTCGTAAGAAACAGCCTAAATGTTTCCATTATTCCCTCTGATCAGTCACAACGGGTCTCTTGTTCGTTTTAACGTCGAAAATATTTCCAACACGTGAATGTAATGAATCGAAATTTCGAGATTTTTTATGGAACTACATGGTTTGAACAATTTTTCAATTTTATCCATTTTGTTTACATGTCCGTGGTCTTTATACTCTCGTAAACTGGATATTATTTACATTAATTAATAACCAATTATCCAATTTTGTTTACATCTCCATTCATGGATTTTTTACACAGAGAAAAATAGCATTAATTGACTCAATAAATCTTGCTTATTCCAATAAATATAAATAAATAATATCGAAAGTCAATAAACTTAATAGACTTATTATTAATTGCCTCAATTAATCTATCCCACTTCAATGACCTTCAACTTCCACTTCAAACGACCGAAACAAATTAAGATTTCGAGTTTTCAGAAAAAATTCCCGTTTTTTCCATTTTCTCGCGTTGATTGTTCATAGACTAATATTAAATCAACATTACTTGTTAGAATATCTAGTTAAAATTCATAGAAATATTGAACTGATTTATGATGATTACAAAAATGAATCGATATGGAGGACTCCACGGAGTCGCCTCAGAGTTTGTATAAACATAAACAATTGTTTCACAAGAAACAATTGCAGGGTTCTTTCTTCGGTGACGAATATTCTTATGCTCTTTCCGGCCAATCTTTAGTCTCTTGGAGACATTGATAGAGTTCAGCCAGTATTCTTCCTCGTGCGATTTTAATAAAGAAATAGTGATTAGAATTCATTAACTATATTTTATTAATTTAACTATTCCATTTCCAATATTACCCAACTAATATATTTACTTACATTCACCACTCACATAAATAATATAATATACATAAAAATCAATAAATACTCTTACAGTGTTTCAAGCCTGACAAACTCAATACCGATTGAATTACTCGATTTCGCTGATTTCAGATGAATATAGTGAGATAATATTGAGATTTCAAGATTTCGAGAGTGGTACAGATGGAAGGGGGACAGATGGAGGTCGGTGGGTACGAGAAGTTGGAGGAAGGGGGACGATGGTCTGGGAGAGCAAGGTGAAGAGATGGTTTTCGATGGGAATACGCTTGGAAGTTGGTCGAATTGGACGTCGATGTGGTTAGAAAGCCTTTAAACCATTCTCAGTCATTGTCAGTTGCTCGTCATTCCCCGTTTATCGCATTCCACGCACAGTTGCCATTGTCCATTGGTGTATTTTAGTTGGTATTTTAAATTTTCAAGTGCAGTCTTGTGTTTAAATCGTCGCGGCTGTGAATCCCTGCGTCCGATCTGGGCCCCACCAGCACTCGTTCCCCTGCATCAGCCCCCCAGGTCCCGCCACCCACTCTTCTCTCTCTCTTTTTGTCTCTTTTTTTTTATCTCTCTGTCTACGTTTTACGCGACCGGCGTGCGTCGTGGATCTCTCATGTAACCGGTACCAGTTTGGTACCAGTTGTTCAAAGCGCGAAACCCATATTCCACGACTTCTCACTCCGCTCCATTAATCCAGGATTAATTAACAGGTAAGTGACGCTCACATTGTGATAATGATTTAGTGCAAGTGTCATTTATCATTGTTTTGTTTATCAAAAATCTCTCGTCGCGATTCCTCTCGGCTACCGGTCGAATCGAACACCATTTAATCGCGTTTTCATTGGAATCGGGAACATCCGCGCTCATTAAATAATTAAAAATTGCCGGGAAAACAGAAAAATGGTATTTGTGATAATGATAATGTGAGGAATGTGGGCGGAAATGTTGTCGATGCGTGGAAAATTTTATTCAAGTGGTTTGCCTGTTACTTAAAAACCCAACGAAACTAGAAAGTGATGAGCAGTTTGCCTGCACCGTGGAAACTCGAGATGCATCGGTTGGGTCTGGTCGACTGGTTTGGAATTTTTTTTATATACTGACACTGAAACCCCCACCGTATCGTGTTTACATAGGAATGTCATCGTAAATAGGGACTTATAAAAATATTGGCCGATACTTTAGTTTTTTATGTTGATATAAATTAAAATGGTAAAAATATTGAAAGTCAATTTGTTGTCGGGTTGAATTAAATTCACTGGTGCAATAGTTTTGTGACATATCGCGTAATACGTTGAGCGCGTGCGCAACCGCGAGCGTGCGGTCAGCGTGGTTTACCGCTCCGCGCACCATCAAAATGCGTACATATACTGAGAGCATGTACTGTGCCACCGGTGAAACCGGCTTTATCCATTCATGGGGATAAAAAAAAATCTAAAGAAGAGTATACTATGCGCGTTGCTGGCGTTTTCGACACTAGGCTGTCTGAATTCTTCGTGGAATTGTTGGAAATCGCGGAATACCGCGGGGGTATGGACGTTCCGCAGGTTCCGCAGATGCCATTGCATTCGGTATTATTTTCCTTCACTCAACCACTGTGAGAAAATCCTTCTTTTTCCTCGTCCATCCTCACAGAACAAGAGAATAATTACATGCACTTTGGGGATACCCGGGCAAAATTAAACATCTGGGACTCAGGATAAAATGGAATGCGGGTAAATCGGATGAATTAGAACATTCAGTGGGCGGCGAAGTGAAACATCGTAAAAATCCATTATTCTATTATATACCCAGAATTTTATTACACTTACAAAAATATTAAACTCTCATATAAGGAATTACTTCATCAGAAGCGAAAAATAACTGATTTAAGGAATTATTATTAAGCGAATAAGATTTTTTTCTGATAATGTTGAAAGATGTAAAAAATAAGAAATAGTGTAATTAAGAGAAAAAATTAAATTCGCGAAAAATATTGAGACACTTTCAAACTGCGTCCCCAACATTTTTCGTCGTAAAAGAGAAAGATTGAGAATTTCATTTTGCCTGGCTATCTCCTACACTTATATTAATCATTTAAAAGTCTTGGGGTTGATTTTTAATCGGTGTGATTATTGTGGATAACAAGGAGAATATGTGATTTGACATTTCAGATTTGAACGGGAGAGGTTGTCCCAACAACGAGAAAGAAGAGGTCACGAGCTCTATTGCTCCCCCTCTTTCACCTTTCTTTTACAGCATGATTGTGTATACCTCCAGTACGTAACTACCAGCCGCCTAGAAAATACTGTGTCACGCCGGCAATGGAAAAATCCATTGACATGTGTACGTAAACGCGTAGTGGAGTGGCTGTGCGTTAAATTTTTGCGGCAGGTCGTGGATAGAACATTGAACGAATTTTTTTCTATCTAAATATGATGGCCTGTATGGGGTTTGAGCTCTGGCACCGGGGTGGGCCGATGTGACGGCTGACTACTAGAATAAAAAGGAGAAAGGAAAATCATAAAGAGGGACAGAGGTGAGGAGAAAAGTCGAGAATCGATAAGACGAGAATGGGGCAGGCGTGGTGCAAGGAGAGGTCCAACAAGGCACAGGATTCAAAATCACCTCTGGACCGAGTTTTCCTTCGCTGCGCACATCGAGTGAGTTTTATTTATTTTCAATGATTGGTCTAGATGTTTTCATTTGCTTGATTTTTTCGTTAACGCTGATTAGGTGCTGTCCGATAATGCGCCCCAGATAATTGACCTCAACTGCAACTCTCCAGTTGATATATTTAATGAAGAAGTAACTAGGGAATTCAATGGGTTCTTTTTTACCTCTCGGATGTACAAATGTTTTTAGTTTATCTGGGGAAAATATGTTTCGGTGATCCGTTATCTTTATCAGGGACACAGAAATGAGATCGACGGGAGTGTAACGATGGGCGCACCTGATTTTCATTGGGCCCGAATACACGTTCACTCGTATGTCGTGTTCTTGGAGAGAAAGAGAGAGCACTTGCTTCCACGACTGGTTTCCGGTTTTCGCCTAACTTCTATTCCACCTTATCTTGCGCCTGTTGGATATTGTGCGCACAGTGCAATTTACACTGACGATAAATCACATCCGGAGGGGCTCACGTGATAATGGTGAAATTCGCTGGGAATTTCGAGTTATTTTGCACTATTTTCCCCTTTTTCACTTTCAAGGAGCGGTACTACGTTTTTCTTAACTTGCCAGACTTTTATTTTACCGGAAATCATTTCTAGTCATTAGGAAATGTGAAGGAATTATTTATTTTGTTGCGATGTACGATTTATAGCGGAATTTTTTTGAATTTCGATTTTCGTCTTCTCTGAAAATTATGCGTAGAATCAATTGTTAATAAAAAATTGTAACTTTGGAAGAGAGTAATTTTGCTCTTTCACAACTTCTAGATCACATCGCTGATGCCGTCATGAATACTTTGATTCCATTTTTATGTTTTTCTTGGGGGCAAGAAATCAGCGCAGAGTTCAGTATCGTAAAATCAATCATAACGATCGTTAAGGCTTTATACGTTAGATTTTTCCTTTTTCTTGAACTCAATTTTTCAGTAAATCGAAGACTGATCAGTTCTTCTTGAATTCTCGTCAAGTTCTGCTTGATCTGTTGAAACTGACCACCGGCATGTCAAGTCTTGATGAGATGGAGTTGACGAATCGCAATTTTTATATATATGCAAATGTTTTGATTATCTGAAGGATGAGGAGATGATTCCACTTTTTTTCTCAGTTTAGATCGAGGGGCTGCTCAATCCTGAAGTAATGGCTGTCGCGTCGAATTTATTCGAAATTAATTAAACAAATTGAATTCAATGGAAACCCCATTTTCGAAAATGATAATTCGCGCATTACATTATTTGCAAAATATTTTATCTCTCGTTCGTCAAAAATAAAGTTGATAGATAATCTCGTTTTATGATTTCAAAATCAACAATTTTCGAAAATTCAGAGAACTTTATTACAATCAATTGATTAATTAATTAGTATTTTATTAAAATTTCTTCCCTCTTGATCGTCAAATCGTATTTATTATGAATCCAGGGACTTCATTGCACCTGAAATAATTAATATCAATCCGGAAGTCAAACTTGAAGTCATAATATGTCATTGACTCAGGGAGTGAGTAAATCCCTCAGTTTTGATGGGATGCCTTAACGTCTCGATCGTTCACTTTAGCCTACACCATATATCTCAAACTTCTGAGTGAAACTTTAATCGAATGAATTTAATTTAAAAAATCGACTTTTCCCCATCAGCACTGAAAATATAATGGATTGGATAACGATATACGGTTACTGACTCGAAATATTTTACAGATTGTTGTATAGCTGAATGGTCAATAAAATTTGATGGGTCAGTCGAATGAATTTAATTCGGCTAGGATTGATTGTTTTTGAATGTGCCAGGCGACTGCGGCCGAGCCAAACCCATTGTCAATTTCAAGTGTAGGGGGAAACACCCGGAGTGGGTGGGGGTTTGGGAGGAGAAACGCCTGCCCTCGAGGCATTTAATTTATCGTTCACTCAAATTAGTTGAAATTCCCCAGTAAGTGAAAAATAAATTGCAAAGTATTTCATTGTTACGCGTCTCCATCAATTCTCAAGCTCCAGCGCTTTTTCAATTTTTCGTATGATTTTTAAAATGCCCCGCTCTTTTGTCACGAGGAAAATTGACATGCACTCCGGACCTTGTCAGCGTGCCACCGCACTGACGCTCGAGTTTCGCGGACAAATTTGCAATTTAAACTCATTCGCTATACGACCAGAGAAGATACAGATGGGATGAGTGGGTATCGATAAGCGCTTGGGTATAAACCCCCGCCAAAAAACGCGCATACATATGTACGTTACATGTGCCACTGGCTTTTACACGAGACACAACCGGTGGATATGCATAAAGTATGAAAACGATACGTTTCACCAAAACGAGACGTTGGAATAAACTGGCGAGCGAGTCGAACCTTCAATTCATCTCCTATTTTTTACCCACTCGTAACGAAAAAAATAAAAAAAATATATCATAACATTTGAATTTCTCCAATTCGTTGAGGGATGCAATATCTCCAAAGGGAATATGATTGCATTTTCCAGTCTTTTTTTTGGGGGTTTTTCAATTTTCTTTTGGAAACCATTACTCCGATATTCAGTCGTTACTGATCACGAAGTTGAAAACTGGTGGGTGGGAAGGACGCGTTTTTTTTTCAACGAGTCTGCACTGATGCCCAAGTTATGTAACATCAGATGACGCACTTCAATCGCTCATGTACATATTTACAATATGTGTGACTGAACCGAAACTTCAAATCAGTTGATCAACAGTTATTATCAACAAGCTGATAATTTTTATGGAGGAGGTTCCGGGGGTTCTGGAGAGAATTCTAAGGAAACCATTTTTTATGGAAAAAAATAATTTTTTTACATTCGACAAAGTGAAAGTAATTTTTTTATTATGGAGAAAACAGTTTTACGGAATGGAGAATTTTTTTTTCACATTGGAAACGGTCTCTCTCTGTGCTCTTGGCACGGTAGATTGGATGGTGTAAACGGTAATCTGGGACCCATGGAAAATTAGAGGATTATCCTTGAGAATTTTATTTTAGAACTAAATTTCCATCGCATTTGTGTTCTCGGAAAATTTACGCATCAGCACTACAATCTGTTCTTATGATCATGTTTTATTCGAAAAAATCGTAATGTCTGAATTTATTGATAAATTGTTTATCAAATTCCTATTTTCCTAGAAATTTATTATCGCCAAAAATTGGATTCAACACTTTTCATTATTAAAAATTATTTTAATTAATTATTTCATTATCAAATTATTATTTAATTATGTATCACAATTAACAATTTTTAATTTATTATCGCCAAAAATTGGATTCAAAACTTTTCATTATTAAAAATTATTTTTCAAGATATACTGTCAAACATCCAAGGAAAAACCGTATCATTGGACATATTATTTCAGGTTTTTTATCTCCAAACAATAAATTAAAAATTGTTAATTGTAATACATAATTTCTCAGTCTATCCTCGTGTTTCGAAATAATGAATCCAAATTCGTACTGCATCTCGTTGTAACAAAATTAATAGAAATTAATGTTTGATGTCCACTCGTTTATCTGAGGCAATTAAAATCAGCTATTTCAATATTAAATTGCCCGAAATTATTACCAGTTTCAAGTGATTCCGATGGAAATAGCAATTGCAAAAATAAT